CCCATTCTCAAGGTATGCACAATCATTCATTAAAATCTATTGCATTTCTTGTTTACTCATTGCACAGAGATTGCATCATCCTAAGCTTCTGGACGAGATTTTGAGACTAAGGTTGCTACTTGTTACTTATCTTCATTTTTCATGACAAATATAACCATAAAGTATTAGTGAAAACAAAGGTTGTCCATGAGAAAAAGAAGAAAGAGACTATAGCGTTTTGTTCAGAACTTGGTTTGCGATTAGTATATTCTATGATGACTTCTAGGGAGACTTCCATTCGCTTCCGCCAAAGGTTGCACGCTTCATTGCCGAAAAGGCTGAGCTGATGAACCCTGCCGGTATCTACATCTGCGATGGTAGCGAAAAAGAGTTCCAAGATATCATTGACAAACTCGTCGAGAGAGGCGTACTCTCACCTCTCAAGGCCTATGAGCGCAAGTGAGTTGTGAGTTAATGAAGAGAGATTGGATTTTGTGAAGACCAGTTGTAGGCACATTGAGTTACCAAATTATCTACATAGTTTATCTACGCTGCTAAATTGCATCATTTGTTGAGTACAGATGCGGGAATACGACCTTTAAAAATGGAGAATTCGTGCTTAACGGCAGTCGATGGTTTACAACATATAGCATGATGATGCTATCAGAGCTGGCTATTCTCCTAAAACACTCAAATCGAGAATTTTCAATCCAAAACATATATTGAACTGTTTTCTGGACAAACTACAATGGAAATAGTAAACCAATCAATATTGTGAATGGAGGCATTAGGCGATTATGGAACACGTTCTGACTATATTGAGTGCCGCAGCAAGACGCGCAAAACAACAAGGGCAGCTTTAGGGCACTACTCTCGTTAGGCGTTAGCGTTGAGCCAGAGTTTAGAAGAAAGCACTTTGCGCCTTCTGTTCTAGAAAACATGTCCAAAGCCTGACAACGCACTCTCTCTCTTCGAAACCTTAGGCCAACAGAGAACGGGAAATTTGTAAGAGTCTAGCCGGCAAGTGTTCGCAATTTTGCCTTGCGAACTAGTTGCGGCCAGCGCATCTAGCGTGACGCATTTTTTGGCCCATCAAATTTTTGAACAACTGCTGTGTGTCGCAGACATGTGGTAAAGGTAGAGAAATAGAGCGATTTGCACTGAAAAATACTGTTAACTCCTGACGTCGATGATGCACAAAGTGCACCA